TATTTATGTCGTTCTTATGTCCTTTAATTCTGGTCTTATATATTGATTCTTTGACATTTTTATAAATCTTAAATTAAAATTTTGTTGCATTATTTAAATTAAAGTATGTATAACTATGTTATAAGCGTATTTTGACTTTTTTAACGCATCTCGGTTTATGCAAGCACGGCCTGATACGATGTGCACTATGTTTAGGTAATTCTATCACATATTAAAAATAATATTGCAAAGATTAACAAAGGTTTTTAAATAATTAGACACTTAAATTTTCCGCTTTTCTAAATTGATAAGTATGCTAAGAACAGATTTAGAATACAAATGATTAGATATGAACAAAGAAATATTTAAGTTTACTGGATCCCTTTTTAATCTTTCTTTGATTTTAATCTTCCTTCTATTATATTTTTAATCTTTTTTTTTTAAATTTCTTTCGACTTCACTGTTTTTAACTTTGTCTAACACTTTTTGATACGAACGTTTCTACTGTATTTAGTCGCTCGCATTTTATTATACGAAACAGATATAATGTCTACAATGAACGCTGATGAAAAAAACTGTTGGCAGTGGGAATATTTCACAAAATTATACTTTCGAGTACAATGTAAAATATGTATAAAACAAAAAATTTTAACTTATCACTCTATAAACGATGATTTCAAAAGTTTTCATTTAGAGTATTTTACAAACAGAGAGGTACGATTCTGGGTGTGGGAATATTATACAAAATATGACAATCTAATCGCAAGATACATTCAATGTTTAGTTCTCATTTTATATAAGAAACAACTGAACATGTTAAGACGTTTAAATCGCATACATAATACATTGAAAAGAAGGCATATACATATTTAACTTGTGGAATCTTCTTACGATGAGTAATGATTATCTCTACGTAAAATGTAAGATCTGTCGTGTTCATATAAAGATTACATTGAAACTTTCCATTATGAAAGAGTACGTAAAAAACCAATATCCAAAAGCTTGGGCAATAATGAAAGAAAAATACAATATATCTGAACTTTAAAGTATAATACAAAATTGAAGAAGAGTATAATGATAAATATTTTATATTATTAATATAAAATAATAATAATAATAATAATAGTAATGGTAAATATATTATTAATATTTACCATTACTATTATTATTACTATTTAATATTACTATTAATATTATATTAATAATTTTTTAGTCGTATTTAATGTATGTATAATGAATACACCAAAAATCTGATCCTTAGGACTCACTTTTAACAAGTATTATAAATATTCACACAGATTTATTAGAGTTGATTTTGACAACGGTACTAAATTTAACCAGCAATAACAATAGTCTTTTTTGCGAAATTAAATATTTTGAAAAGAAATGACTTCATGAATCACTTCTAACTGCTCAGGATGCTCTTTTTGAATTTGGAGTCTTGATCGAGTAGCAACTGCAATTTTTTATCTTCAAATTATTTTGATTAACCAGAATGTGATTTATCATTTAAATTGTAGCAACTGCAATTTTTTATCTTCAAATTATTTTGATTGACCAGAACGTGATTCATCATTTAAATTGTAGTCTTCATCACGAAACCTTTGATATCACTTCTTGCATGTTTTATGGGCTGCACTTTCTCTAAGAGCAGTACAAATCATATCGGCTTCAACAGTATTTTTTTTTAATTAAAAGGCAAAAGCTTGATATGATATGCATTTTATCCATGGCCATTGTACTTACTGTTAATTTTTAAGATTCTGTAGTTTATTTTGCTGCATTAATTGACGTTTAGTAAACATAATTGACAGTCTTTTAAAACCACATTAGGACAAGAAAATATATAACTTTAAAATAATTATTAGCAATATGTAAAATTAAAGGCACCGAATTAACTTATACACCTAATATTTTCCTACATTTATATTTAAAGTTATTATAACTTATAATAAAATTTTTATATTGATTATATGGTTAGTAACACTATGCGTATAATATTATAGTAACAGTTTCTATAAAAATGAATACCCTGACAATAATGATTTTTTAATATTATAGCTTCAAATATTACACATTTTTCTCTCAATGCCAGGATACTACAATTATAACTTATTCATTTTACGTTTTTAACATGATTCAATATTACGAATAAAGTACATAATTCCTGCAAATACGTATTTTGACAATCATTTATTAATCAAGATCGTCAAATGTTTGATTTCTATTTTATTTTATTATTATTATATCGTTTTTTATATTTGTTTTATATATGTATCTGTCTTATTACACGTGCTTTTTGTCATTTGAATTTGACATTATTACTTTTTTGTAGAAAATTATAATAATACTACACAATATAAAATACTATGTTAATATCGATTTTCTATTTATACTTGTGTTCGAAAATTGATAATATATTGATAATAAAAAGTGTGCAAAATTAATGCAGCAAAATAATGAAAATAATGCATTATGATTAATAAGGTATCTTTAAACAAATGTAAGTTTTATTTATTTAATCTATAATTCAGAACAGAAATTTATTATTTATTTGATTCATTTATTTTGTCTTTGTAACAAATATATATATTTATAATTTATTCCAATAAATTCGGGCATTATTACTTCCATATTTTAATTAAAGAACTGTTAATTCACTTTGTTGGCTTTTTTGCAAAATATCATTTAAATATAATTTACGAACAGTATTGAACTATCAGCATTCAAATACCGATTTCAGACTTGTGATCGGCGATATCTCATGGATACATTAAGCCGCCTGCCACAATAGTCATTCACGTTTTATCGCGAATAGTCTCGCGCATTTCTCGCGAAAGGAAGATGTGTTATCTGAATACTGATATTACACGCATGTGCATCGATGCTATTTAATAATAGTACTACCAATTTACAGTCGTGATATATCTGTCCTTTTCATAAAAATAAATAAAATAGAAAAGCTGACAGGAATTTACTTCATAAAATTGATGCACAATTCTTAAATTTGTTATAATCAAATAGAAAGGATTTTACATTTTTATTTTTAATATTCTATCAAAAATTTTAGCTTTAGCATTTTAAAAGATATCGATTTTATTAAATCGAATAAAATATTTATTAATAATATTGACGATCAGGTAAAATTTTCGAGATCTCTAATATTAAAGCATAATCAAATCTGAATTCAGTTTTAATCTCTTTCATTTAGATTATTTCTTAAATTTTAAATAGAAAGAAATTTATTTCAACAATTGTATCAAGAAGCAATCAACATAACTCGTACGCTCAAGAGACACTTAGTCGCTGCGTCGATGAGGAATGACGTATTAAACCGAGATAATCGTTTTTCTAATAAAAGATACAGCTGCGATCTCCGAAAAGTGCCAACCGTTTCTCGCAGTCTCATCGGTTATTATTAACAATTTTTGCGATTTGCTCACCGGTATTTTATCGGCCATTCAGCCCGTCTTCGGCCAAGGCACTCTCGCTTCATTGTACACTTCGATGGAATTTATTTCTAATAAATGCGTTTCTGCTCACCCGCCACCGAGCGAGCGAATCTACGACGCGTGTATCTAATCTCGCCTTTACTACGTCGATAATGATTTTTCATATTCGGTCGGCAGTATTTCACGGAGCTTTTATTGTCGTGAGACCCGCGGCTACATCTGTAGCGAGACCGACCCTTGTCCCAATCAGAACTTGAGACAAAGAAATGTGTCCGTGATCATTCCCTTCTCAATTTTTATGGGGACCATTGGAAGCCTAGCATTTATTTTTAATTGTCCGTACCACCCTTATCCCGCCGTAACTTCGCATATATAAATCAGGAGTGATTAAAACAACGCCCGTATGTACAACTCGCTTGATCGCAACATTATCGAGCCCATCCTAGACTGCGAAGAACATCTTTTTCCCCGCTCGCGAATCGCTGCCGGCGATAAATCGTCACCCCCCCCCCTTCCTCACCGCCGAATTCCTGGAACCCCGCGGCGCAACGAGAGGCACCAAAAACGATAAATTACCGGGCCGAAAATGTATGGGGGGCGGCGGGGCGAGGGGAGCCCTTCGGTGGAAGAAGGACAGGCAGTGGATCGCGAGGGGTGGAGAGCGGTGCTTTCGGCGGTTCGACGGCGGGGAAGGGATCGACGAGGGCGGCGCCACGTTTGCGCCACGGTGTAAAAAGTCCCGTAGGGGAATAAAGAGGTGGAAAAAAAGGAGCCCGGTGAGAGCGGCTAACATGGAATAGCCCTTAGCCGACACGATAGCCGCTCTTTAGGCTGATGGACTCTCGCTCTCCCTCTCCCCGTCTGCCACCGGGCCGGCCGCCTCTCTCGTTCTCCTTGCCTGTCACCTCCTTGCCTGCGGTCCAGCATTCTACCTTCGTTGCACTCCGCTGCATTCCCTCCGCCTTTTCTTCCCGGCGCTCTGCACGTCGCGATCGCCGTGCCTTTGTGCACGTACGCGCACCACTCCTTTATGCCGCGCGTATATTCGCTATTAACCCCTGCAATTCGGGAGACGTGAATGTTTTACTAAAACTGTGCGATGAATTTTTGTGAAATCCTGACATGTAATTTTTTTACGCATGAAATCCGATGCTTCCTTTGCGAAATGTAGAATTTATAGCAGAGTATAAATAGTTAAAGTTTCAACGTGATTAACGTATACGTGAAACATTGAATTTTGTTTAGCGTGAGAGGACGAGATGAATAGAGTTACGCTCAAACGTTACTCAAGTTTACATTGCTGAATATTTTTCAATAATCCCGCCAAAAATTCGTAATAATATCTATTTATTATCATAACTGCTTAATTACAATTTAGATGCAAAACGCAAAATTCTGGTTGGCGAACAGTAAAACATGTTACCTGAAATAATGAAACGATTATCTTGACACTTCCATGACAGAGGAGGAACGCGCCGAAACGATGATACAACATGATAAACCATGATGGATTTGTGCGCTTTGTACTTTATTCTCCTCACACTTATTATGCGATGTACATGTTATTAGCATACAGCAAAACGCCCGGTAATCGCGATCAAATCGTACTTTGTGCACTTCCATTCCGACGCTAAATATCCGCCGCTCGAGCTTCCGCGTGGCGGAACGCTATGTGCAACGCTAATAAAATAATTTACAATATTCTCACTAATTACTAAATTCACGCGCTAATTATTAAATTACACTGGGTAACTTACAGACAGACGTTATCTGCGCGGAAACCTCTCGCGTTGAGATATGACGAGCTGCTGTCGCACGGCGAGACTCACAGCTCTCGCAAGCATCTTATTCCCATCTTATCGCGTCGCATAATTACGAGCAGCTTGCAATCCTGCAAACTATTCTGCCTAATACATTACGCATCACCGTCAACAGAGGAGAAGAGAAATGCGGACATTAGTCTGTAAACTCGCCGGAAAACGCGAATTCACGCACAATTAATTTTCTTTATTAACTCTAGAATAGCGCACTTCCTGTTTTATATAACAGAATTATAAACTGCGCGCTGGTCGGCACATCGATGCCCACATGTTTATATCACTACCTTTTTCTCTCATTATTTTCTTTATGAGAGGTTGATGTTTATTAAGTGTATTAGATTACTGCATAGTTGATAATGTTCAAATTGTAAAAAATAGTGAGAAAATAAGAATTAATGGCTATTGAAGAAGTTAAGAATTTACTACTACAATTATATTTATTATTTAGATTAAATGATTCCATTTATATAATGTATAATTACGATTTCTTTAATGACAAGACATCTGCATAATTGCAAAGTTTGATTCTATTTGCAAAGTTTGATACAATATTGATAAATATTGTTGATCAAAGTAATCTGAATATTATCTCGAAAAATGTCATATTTTTAATGAGGACGATTTCCAGTTATATACGATATATATTACTCTTTGGAGAAAATTAAGATATACACCTATACATATCTAGATACACATATATCTTTGGATCGGCGTAAATGCATATTTACAAGATTGCGCAAACGAACCAGAGTACATACACATGTATTAAGTACAAGTCGCACGATAAATATTGGATTAACGATGTAAAATATTCTGCACTGTCCTAAACATGGCAAATGTAGAATTCAAGCTGAGAACTACATTTATTTATAAAAACAATCGATGCATAATCCCAGACAGCCAACATTGCTAATAATTCACCTACTGGGATAAAATAATTAGGACTAGAATCTCCGTTTTCCGTAATCTGTATCTACAAAACAAGAGACTTTAAGTAAATTTTTCACTATTTATCAAATATTTCATAAAATTCATAGTTTTGTTATATTTTTCCTTAATATAATAATTATATTTTCCATTTTTTCTGATAGGTAGCGTGTCAATTCAGTCACATGCTGCGACACAGTAGTCTACAATATCGGTTGTAGGAAGAAGAGACGGAAAATGTTGCGTGTGCCATACGAAACATCTGCTTCTGTTATTTTGCAAAATTAAAAATAACATACGTAAAGCGCAACAGAAGAGATAGCAGAGTGGAATAAATCGATTAAAATGCGCCACGCTACTTAATCCTCAAAAAAGCTGAGATAGATTTATTAGGTACAACTACTCTACAGTAGTTTCCAGGTATAAGATACCTGAGCTCCTTATCTCGTGCTCGCTCCTTTTTCTTTGATAATGCTTTATCTCTCTTTGTTGTCTCACCCTCTTCACGGTGAGCAACCGAGAAAATTTGCGAAAGATAAACGAAGTTATCCTTATTATAAATCGTCGGCCGGTTTCAAACAGTATATCTGTATCTAGAAACTACTGTACTTTTAGCAATAAATATAAATCGGAATACATTTCAATAATCGTTTCCGAAAATCGTAATAATTAGACATCGATCCTCCTTCGATTTGCATTGACATTATGCGTTTAATGCTAAATCTCATTTTTTTTTGCATGAAATTAATGTAGATAGGATGTTTTTATTCAGCACTAAATAACTGAGTACGAACATTTATAATGTATACGCGCTATTTTTTTTTCTTTATACAAAATATTTTAGCTATTTGTGATGGACAGAATCGTGTTTCTATCGCTGAGTAAAGCATTTCCATATCGGTAACCATTTACGAAGTCGATGCACGTTCGTTCCAACTTTACAGCGCTCGTTTAAAGCTACAATCGGTAAGTATTTCCCACAAGTTTTACCGATACGAACAGAATGTGGATCCCTACGGTCTGTTTGCATGGACAGCTGTGGTTGATGTTATAACCGAAGCGAGGTCACTGCTAGACTGACTAGTGATTGGTTCTATTGGTGGCACGCTAAAATAAAAATTATAAATAAATGTTTATAAGTAATTTTCCTATTATGGAATAAATAATAATGAATTTTAATATTGAAATAATAATTTTAATAACAAATAACTCTGATTAATTTCCTGCTATTCAACTTGATTATAAAAAGGAATTAATTAAATTACATTTTGACGGAATGTAGCAATCACGCTTTAAATCGTTTATATTATTTTTATATTTAAATTTTTAAATAGAAAGTTTTGTTGCGCTATGATGAATAGATATCTCAAAACCATCCTCATTCTCTTCATTCTTCAAAACTTGGAATTGTGAGTTCCGTTTTATCAAAGTTAAAGTTAATAATATATAATAAAATAATATTAATATCGAGACATTTCAAAAAATAAATTAATCAAATAACCAATCATCTATTTCATTTTTTATTCTAAATTTATTCGATTTTATTTCGTTTTGATAGCCAGTTCGTTAATAAATCGTCAGTCTGCCATCGACGCGTCGGGATGCGCAAATCTTGTGCTGTAAATGAGATGACTCATGACTTACGTAAGGGTGGTTTGACGATTCAACACGGCGGCGGTAGGTAATGCGAGAGGCGAGTGTGCATGCCCTAATTGTGCCCCAGTCGGTGTACCTACAGGAAGACAATGCTCTTGAACCCTTCCACCACCCCCACCCCCGCTTGCGTACATGTTCAACTGCAACGAGTCCACTGTAACGTCAACAGAAAAGACGACATCGGTCACGATTACTCTGCTCGCCACGCTCGACGCGCTGATTATGATTGTACATAGTACTTTCCACTGCTTTCGACGTGTAACACATATACGTGAAATGTGTATTCCAAAAGATGCGTAGTATTCTAAAATACATTGTTTGTACCGCACAAACTTGCGTGATCTTAATGAATTTATTATTTTTAATCTTTCGCTTGTTTTTCTTTAATTATATGATGTTTAAACTTAAAGATTTAGCGATCAGCTTGTGCTCTTATCGCGATAAATTTATTCGATGAAATATATATTCTCTTCAATTATATTATCTTAAGTACATTATCTTAAGTTCTGATCAAAATTATTATAATCAAACGCGCTTTTGATAATTTTTCTTTTTTTCACGTCGATTTTTTCTATTTTATTATAATCTCAGGTGACAGAAATAAATCGACGTTTCGAAGGTAATATCCCACGCTCTCCCTGCGTGTTTCTTTATGCTTACACTTAATCCCCTGTCGAAGAGAGAGAAGTACCTATCGCGCTATCGGAGCACATCCCGAGTTGCGACCAATCCGAAGCATGTTATCGGTTGTTATGTGCTCTGATCGAACCTTTCCCCGAGCCCCCCTACGCGCGCTGTCACATGTACGTGCGATCGTGTGTTTAGTCGGCCATCGCGGTTGTCGATGGACGCGGATGGAAATTATTGGCTCGCCGTTCCGCGGAGACGCGATTGGTATTTACACACGGAGAAACTAATTGATCATTACTATTGATACGTCTCGATGGTAGCGATGTGGTAAGAGCAGTTTTTAGCTTGACAATATTAATTTCAAATATGATAAATAGTGCGACAATTCGTCGATATCTCTATTAAGCATACGTATAATTGTTTAAATAACTGTGCATTGAAATAATCGCGTAAATTTGTCGCATGCAAATACGCGTTCTTCGATTTCGATCATCCCCACCTGTAGGTACACCTAATCGAATCAGGCTGAATGCCCGATTAACATTTGCAAAGATGAGAAGGCATCATAAGGAAAATGATGTTTATTTTGATGCGAATAATTTCTGAATGATGAATAATTGCACGGTTAAAAAAATTTTAGCAAAGCAAATTCGGATAGGCAAATATATATTTTCTATGTTTGTTAAGAGCCAAGATGAAAATTGATGCAAGATGTTAGTAGAAATAAACTGTATAATAATAGACTTGCTCACCGAAGACTCACCGAGTAGACTGGATTTAATCTCGGCCTTGTGAATACCACTGGTTCCAGGTAGATTTGCAGCGATTCCCGAGTGATTCTTTGGTTTTCTCTTTCGTGTCTGTATTCCTTCCTTCTTCATGCTCAACGGCCTATTCACCTAAAATTATGTTACACATTTTCAGTTCTGCACACCTGTTTTAACATAAAAGTAATCAAACGGTAAATCAAATATAAAGAAATACGCCTTTTGTCCAAATGGATTAAGGTTTATATAATCAGGCAGTTGTTGTACGCCGCAAATAATTTCATATTTAAAATGGTTTTAA